TGTCCAGTAGCTTAATTTTCCGTGTTACCACTAATTTCTGAGAAGAACACTGTAGAACCTTTTCGAATATTCCAGAAATTTCTCTTCCAATCCACTTCCGACACTAAATTGTTACGTGTTTGCTATCCAAACACAAACACCTATACTCGTAGATTCGTTGATTGAAAGTCCAGGTAACACTTACTCACTACTTTATTTACTAATTAACAATTAACAACAAAAAGATTAATAACTGTCTTAATTATAATCACAATTGAACACGTATTAAGTCTCTTTCTTATTTCTTCTTACTCGTTCATGTTTAACTTAAGACTGAGTCTCGGCCCACCGTGCGTCTTATTTATACATCCATTCACACGGTCTAGAACATTCGAGAATATTCCTGGCCGTTCTCGTACAATTTCAGTCTCATCTAATCACTCTACACAGTTCAGTGGCGTAACAATATGCTAAGACTTACAGCCAGTCGCCATGGGCGGAATTATTTTGGTCCTATATTTTTTAATTTATTGCCTGAACATGTAGCACAATTACCTATGTGTAGATTCAAGACTTCAATAAAAGAGTTCCTTATTAAGAGTGCTTTTTATAGTATTGAGGAATACCTAAATTGTGAAAATTTTGTATTCTAATTTAAAGTTTATTATGTACCCTTGATGTTTCTTTGAAAATTGTACAATTGTCTCTTATTTATAGGTTGCTATAGTTTATAATATTGTTTTGTCTTATGTATCTTCTATTGACGTACATACCGGGTGCCTACGATATTACTAGCCAGCCTATAACTTCCTTGTAAAAAAAGATATCGATTTAAAATTTTGGGATGTTGTATGGTTAAATACGATGCACAGTTTGATTGCTTCAAGATCTGATTTTCATTTCCGGTTTAACCGGAAACAGTATAAAATTTATTTTTAATGGAACACCCTGTATATTATTCGAAATTTAGATTGCCCAGGAAATTGTAGGTCCAAAACATGTAGCATGCCCTATATCTATCTTTGACAGTTTTCGAGAAAATGGCGGTTGAAAATGTTATATCAATCATAAATTATTTCATTTTCACATAAAACAAATGAATGTAGGAACAAATCTGTTACGGTTATTTAAGTTTTTTTGGTGAGTAAAATTTGATAGTCATAAAAAGTTCATTTCCGGCTAAACCGGAGGTACTACGAAAAGTGATTTTCAGGCTCAAATTACTTCAATATTTTTAATGGAACACCCTTGTATTGAACCTAAAATTTACATTCTACTAACCTTTCTGGATATTTTTTGTTTCTGGTGTCCTCCGTTTAAACCTAATAGTTTATGAGATACCGGCGACTGAATGTTCACCTGCACTGTCACAAAGGCTACACAATAAAAAATTATGTTTAAACAAAACTTTCATTCAAGAGGGCTGTGTAAAACAAAAGAACTATTTACCGATTTTCTTTTAGATTTTGACAGTACTGCTGCATTATTTAAAAAGTTTCTCTCGACAGTTGTCATTTAATTCTTGCGTTTTATTCTTGATTTACCTTTTAGTCAGTGTTTAAGTGTTATCTGGTTGTTAAAAATGGCTGTGCTTAGGCGTGAACATCAAATTGATATGTTATTAGTATATGGAGAGGTAAGAAAAAACCGAAGGAAGCCAGAGCATTGTATGGTCGACGTTATCCAGAACGCAACCAACCTTGTGCACAATATTTTCCATGGTTGGAAGAATATTTAAAAAGGGAAAATGATAATGAACATGAGAACACATTTATTGTAAATGAGGAGGCAGAGATAAACACACTGGCCTGTGTTGAGATTGATCCAACAAGTTCTACAAGGCAAATTGCCAGTGGTATCGGGATATCTCCCGAAAGTGTTAGAAAGTTTCTACATAAACATAAGTACAAATCTTTTAAGTAACAAATCCATCAGCATCTTTACGAGGGAGATTATCAACGAAGATTGAATTTTTGCAATTGGTATCTAGAAACTGAACGTCATCAGCCAAATATAAAATCATGCATTTTATTTTCGGACGAATCTCGATTTACCAACATGGGAATGTTTAACAGGAACAATACGAGATATTGGGCAACTGATAATAACCATATCTATTTAGAGGAGGGGCTTTCCAAGAAAAATTCGGCATCAACGTTTGGCTGGGCATTATAGGTACACCCATTCTAAGACCATTATTTTTTGATGGACCTTTAAACGAGCCCATTACCTATATTTTCTACAGAACGAAATTCAAAATTTTATTGGTTTTACCTGTGCAGCATGAACATGTCTTCTATCAGCAAGATGGTGCACCGCCCCATAACGTCCGAGTAGTCACCGACTATTCAAGTGAAACTTTTAATAATTGCTGGATAGACACCAATGGTCCCATACGGTGGCCGGCGAGATCCCCAGACTTTACACCTTTGGAATTTTTTTACTGAGCCCATATCAAAGAAAAGGTGTATAAGACACAACCACATAACATAGGAGACCTTAGAAATAGAATTACGCAAGTGACTCTATTACTCCAATTCAGATGGAAAACGTTCTTTGAGAATTTAAAGAAAGGATTAATTCTTACCGAGAAGTCAACGGTGTACATTTTGAACATTTAAATTATGGTTAAAATAAATTATACCTACCTATTACTTTTAGTGTTTCACTTTTGATACTTATTTTATTTTTCTGCTTTGAGCAGATTTGTGACATATTTAGTGCAGGTAGAACATTCAGTCGCCATATCTCATAAATTATTAGGTTTACTTAGACAGGGACAGGAGACACCAGAAACAAAAAAATATCCAGAAAGGTTAGTAGAATGTAAATTTAAGGTTCAATACAGGGTGTTCCATTAAAAATATTGAAGTAATTTGAGCCTGAAAATCACTTTTCGTAGTACTTCCGATTCAGCCGGAAATGACATTTTTATGACTATCAAATTTTACTCACCAAAAAACTTAAATAACCGTAACAGCTTTGTTCCTGCATTCATTTGTTTTATGTGAAAATGAAATAATTTATGATTGATATAACATTTTCAACCGCCATTTTCTCGAAAACTGTCAAAGATAGATATAGTGTATGCTACATGTTTTGGACCTACAATTTCCTGGGCAATCTAAATTTTGAATAATATATCGGATGTTCCATTAAAAATAACAAATTTTATAGTGTTTCCGGTTAAACCAGAAATGAAAATCAGATCTTGGAGCAATCAAACTGTGCACCGTAATCAACCATATAACATCCCAAAGTTTGAAATCGATATCTTTTTTTACAAGGAAGTTATAGGCTGGCTAGTAATATCGTAGGCATCCGGTATATTTAAAATGCAAATGAAATTTTTCATATTTTTCATATCCAGTAATAATTTTAATATGTAACGTTAATGTGTTTTTGTATGTTCTATTGACGTATGTAAATACTTGTATATTCTAACATGAAATAAACTTACTTACTTCTGGAGCGGGTTAGAACCTTTGATTTGAAGATAACACTGACGTAGTTTTCCATAAACATCAAAACACCATATACTGCACTCACTTTAGTGCAGTATATAGTATACGCACTCACTCGCTTTTAGTGCAGTATAGTGTTTTGGTGTTTCGTGGAAAATTACGTCAGTGTTACTTACTTACTTATCCTTATAAAGTTAAGTTGGTTCAGGTGTTAAATGAGTATGATCCTGATCGAAGGCAAGAATTCTATGAATTAATGATGAACATAATGCAAGCAGATGTGCAGTTTATACACAAAATAGTTTTTTCTGATGAAGCCACATTTCAATTAAACGGAATGGTAAACCGCCAGAACTGTCGATATTGGAGCAGAGAAAATCCTCATTGAATGATGGAGATTCGTACACAATTTCCTCAACAAAAGAACGTTTGGGCTGGTATCATTAATAATCAAATGATAGGCCCTTATTTTTTTTAAGGCACAGTTAATGGTGATGTTTTCTAGATTTTTTGACGAACTTTTTAGTGCCTACATTAAAGACACTTTTTCCTGATATTAATTATCCAAATGTAATAGACTGGTCTATTTGGTACCAATAAAATGGAGCTTCACCGCATTATTCACGTAGTGAGAAATTATTTAAACGAAGTTTTCCCTAACAGGTGGATTGGAAGATATGAAACTATTGAATGGTCATCTTGGTCTCCGATTTCACCCCTCTTGATTACTTTTTATGGGGCTATTAAAATAAAAAGGGTAAGTTAATCGACCAGACAATATCGCAGATTTAAAAAATAGGATACAAAATGTCATCCGAGAATTCACAGATCGCCTTGCTTATTGTCAAGCGGCGACTGCTGTCATTTTGAACATTTAATTTAATTATAAAACAGATTGGAAACATTCAAATAAATTGGAAATACATTCTTAATATTACATGAGATTCTGCGCTTATTTTATGTAAATGGTTGAGGAGGGTACAATTTTCTATTAAAAACTTAAAACAACAACAGATCAGTTCTAATTTTTCTTCAAAACCAATAATTTAGCAAAAAATACTTCAACTGAGTTTACAAGACATTCACAAAATTTTACATTTTCAAAATTAATTTTCTCAGTAATTAATACCCCAGATTTAAAAAACTGTATACTGCTGAATAGAGAATCAAAATCCCCTTGGAACTAGGTACAGCCCGACCCCCTTCCTAATTTAAAATTCTCGGGGTGTAGTCATAATTCAGAAGGGCTGAACGTGAGGGGTATTATTTTCATGCAAAAAATGGCAATTTCAAATTAAAAATTGACATGTTTCAGCATTTTTCCTAAAAGTTCATAATTACGCTTAAAATGAATTTATTCCATACCGCACTGTATATCTAAAAAAATTTTGAATGATTAAAATCTTTTTTTTTTACTTTAAAATTCTTAAATACAACGCCCTGTATCCCTGAAGGTACTTCAAGGTACCTTGTGCGGGAGAGGGCGACGCATTTAGACATGAACACACCCAATGTCCGAGTATGCTAGGATTAATTTCTGGTTTAAAAAAAAATCCTAGCTCCTCGACCGGGGATCGAACCCGGGATTCCAGGGTGAGAGGCACGTGTCCTTACCTTACCACTCGACCACGACGCCACACTTTGGTAGATATATTTCATATTTACTCTCTTCTCTGTGTTGAAATGAGACAATAATTAATTGTTTTGTACATTCTTGTTAAACTGTTAGAACTGTTTTTACAACAATGTTACCATAATTTCTTAGAATTCCACATAGTACAAACACGGCTGTGGCTAAGTATATGCGTAAAATATATGAATAAACGATTATGGTATATTCGTCTTTAAATATACTTTGCATATATTGTGCACGGTGTATGAATAAAATATATTGTGTATTATGTATATTCACTTTAGGTAACGGAGTAGATGCACATATTTCGTCTCCTTTCTGCATATACAGAGTACATTCAATATTTGAAGCAAATGTAGACGGAATCATAATATATTTTTGTGCTGTAGGATTGGAAAGACGGGAATTGAAAATTGCAATTGTATATATCGAAATATCAGTTTTTCCCTAGTTAAAAGGAAAAAAAATTGGAACAACAAGATAAAAAATGCTGAGATAGACGATTGATGTAGCCTTTTTTATCTTATGTAGGACCACAGAATCGGACACTAAATTTCTATTATTAAATATGATTTGAACGAAATTTGCCTGCTGAGTAGTTGTTTCGTTCAAATCATATTTAATAACAGTAGTTTAGTCCACATGGGCTAGAGGTCGCCGCTCTCGGTACTTGCTTCGCAAGTCGCTATCCGCCACAGAGACATCTATGATGTCGGTCGGATAGTAGCATTTGGACCATACGAGAAGTATCATATCCCAGGCAACATGATGCCGTGATTATGACGTATTTATTTCGTCACTTTTTACGTCATAAATACGTTAAAATCACTTCAAGAAAGACGTCAAAATGACGAGAAAAAGTCACAGCCAAATGACGTCATTGACGGACGTCAAATATACGTGAATGTCGGACGTTATTAAGACGTTAAAAATACGTTAAATTACGTCTTCTTGACGAACTTATTACGTCAGTAACATTACCAAAAATGACTTCTTAATGTCGAAAATGGCGGCAAAATTCGGGTTTATTTATTTTGGGTTATTTTAAGTTCATCTTAAAACAACCCAAAGTAAATTATCCATCGTTACATGCCAGAAGGAAAAAACTACCATAAATTTGAATTGTTTCACTATGTTGCAGTTTAAAATAAACAATGTATAGTCTTTACAAAAATAATTTATTTCCATTAAATGCACTATAAAGTACATCATAACAAACCTAACAAATATTACATTCTAACATATCACCCAATAAGAGCAAGAACACGTACAGATACATAAAAGTCAATAGTGCTTAGGTCGTGCACAGTAATTCCAGTATTTTAATCAATAATCGGGTTCGAATCGCTATACCGTAAATAACATACAAATGAGGTGTAAGAATAGCTTTTATCCAAACTTCGCCACGATTCTCGGTTGTATATGTACCAACAATTTCAATAAAAAAATTGACTTTATTGATTGAAATTATCGGTACATACAACCGAGAATCGAGACGAAGTTAAGGTAAAAGCTATTCTTACACTTCAATTGTATGTGCAATCAATAAAACCGATTTATTGTTATTTACGGTATAGCGAATTGAACCGGATTTTTTGTTAAAATACTGGAATTACGGTACATAACCTTAGTGTGATATACAAAAAATATACGGGTCAGTCAGTGGAAAGCGATATAAAATTAAAATAAATTATTTCATTGACGACATACAACACGAGCTATATTTCACAAAAAAATGTAATTTACATTTAAATTTCAATTAGTTTATAAAGTATGAATTAATGGGAGGGATATCCAACATACTTGGTCACTGTCAAGAGGAAGGAGCATACACTTAGCAGTAATATCTTCTATATGCCAACTATGCAATTGTGATAAATTGGTAACTTCAAAAATATGTAAATGCCTCGAATCTAAAGGGTAATGATAAAAAGATTCATACGAGATAAAATGTTTGCCAAGCACGATAGTACAACCATCCGAGTTAAGTAAAATATTATGTATCTGAATCACCAAACCTTCATTTGACATACAGTATGAATCTGCACTGGAATATGAATTAATTGATAAAATAAAATCTTTAAAAAAAACTTTTTTAAATTGCTTACATTTTTCATTTGTAAGCGTTTGACCAGAATTATGTTCAAAATAATGTTTAATACCCTCATGTGAAACAATTTTTATATCAAAATTCGACTCTTTAAGACGACGACATATTTGCTTCAACGGTTTGTAAGATGATTTTAATAAGTGTTTTATCTGTCCTAGATAATTCTCAAAGGGAAATGCGGAAAACATATCCAATGGTCCATACATCTCTACATCTCTGGTTAAATGGCACAAGATATGAACATTATATGCATAAAACTCTAACCCATAAATGTGCTCACAATGCTTTACAAATATATTTAAAAGTTCCGTTGCATGCTCACAGCCATAATCTGAAATATATTTAAACGACAACAAGAGAGAAATGCCACAATGCAAAAGTAGAAAGTGTTCGTAAACTGCAAGATCTATATTATTCTTTAATATCAGAGGACCTACATATAAAAGGAAAGTTCGAAATTCGGTCGCTTTCCATCTAGGTAATTCAGACAAAGATCGTGGTTTTCGATTAAATTCTATTGGAATAAACGGTTTAAGTGATATTAGATGTTTAGATAAAATATCAACGGTGCGACTTCGCAACCTCACTTTTAAATTCCCACCAACCCACACATTTAATAGTTTTCTTGTGACCCCAAGACAAACAGCATGCATATAATCCAGAGGAAACGCACTTACCATACCAATTTCTGTATCTATGAGTGGAGAAGTACTAATATGATGATCTTCATCTTGCTGCAATAAAAATGAAGTATCTGTTCTTAATGTTGACGTAATGCCCTTCAGAATGACACGTCCCTTATAGTAATTCCCGGGCTCCCAGCATTTATCACAAGAGGAGTAGCCACCATGAGATTTAACACATTTTAAAAAAGCTCTTGCTGGAGCATCACAGATAAAATTAAGTAGTCTAATATAATACACTCTATTGTTGACCTGAAATCCCTGTTTCAACAAATTAACTTCATTTATAAAATCTTCTAGATACAAGTTTAAAGGAACTGGTTTTGAAGTACCACAGAATATTCCAATGGCAAACGGTTTACTTTTTATATCTGAATTCTTTATAAGACCCAGAATTGGCCACAATTGTGTGTTTGTACTGTGAAAGAGGGGCAGGCCATCAATATTTACGCTTAACTGAAGTATGGTTTCCGTAAAGTCATGTTTAAGTAACAAATTTTTTAAAATATCTAATAGGCCAAAATGGTAGTATTCACCAGTTTCCAATTTTTTTGTTTCTATATATTTTGGCGTTTTCAATAATGTTCTACTATCTAAAGGGAGTTCGGGATGAAATGGAGACAATATATGCAACAAACTTGTTAAAGCCACTTGCGACACTCTGTTCTCAATTGTTGCCCAATCTTTTAATTTTGATGACAAGTCGTTCATTATAACCTTTTTGTTTTCTTGATTATAAGGCGAAGAATCACACGAGCTAAGTTTTCAACAGGTTCGCACATGGTAGTAGCAATAGTTGAAGATTGGTTCATCTCATTATTATTTGAATTATGATAACCTACATTAGAATGTTCATGAAATGAGTCATTGCTATTGGATGAATCTGAATCAAGTGAAATGTCGATATTTTGTTCTGTGGTCACTTCATTATGAATTGAATATATAGTAGAGGAGGTTGAAGGTATAATTGGAATAAAATGAATGTCAGAACTAGTAGATGTTTGAGGAATACTACATTTTACTTCATTAGCTACCCGCCTATAAAATTGTCGTTTTCCTACAGAAACTTTTTGTATCTTTTTCTTATACATTACTTTATGCATTATCTCGTGTTCTTACTCAAAAAATGGTTGATTGTGTACATTTATAATTAAGAAAAGTAATTAGCAATACCTAGTAATTGTTTTTGTCTTTTTTTATGATCGGAAGCATACTTCATACGCTGTGGAGCATGCTTTAACCATGTCTTTACACTGTCCTCTATTTCTGTCTCAGTTGTATCTGGAGATTTAATTTGAATAGCATCTAAAATAAAAGTTTTCATGTGACGAGAAATAATGAATGTTCATTAGCAGCATCAAAACAAAACAGAGCATCTCAAATCTGTTTTCATTGCTAAATTAGTACATAAACAGTACATTTAGTTGATGACTATGCATAAGGAGTAAATATTGAACAGCGCTCACGCTGACTAACTAGCTTGGACTTCCATGCTATTATTGATGGTGAGTGCGAGGAATTCTCGTGACCAAGCTCCGAGGTACAACCTGGACAGCTCAGCTGTCAGATCACTTGTGAGGGTACCACATATCATGTCACTACGCGGATCTCTATGCCTAGTCATGAACTAAACACGCTAATATTTGCTATTTAACATAAATATGAAAATAGTCTCGACTATAATAAATACTTACTTATTACTACTTTTTTCAGTAGCAGCTCTGAAAAAGCCTTCTTATCCTTTCTACTTCCAAAAAAACTGTATTTGCAGGCTAGACTGTCTGTAAGCAACTGTCTTAAAACCTTGTTTGTTCTCAAAATATAACTTTTGCCTCCACCCAAAGTGGATAAGTAGGAACACTGAAAAATAAATACTTAAATAACCAGGTCAATCGAAGTAAATAATGACTTACGAAAGAATTAATGTTTTCCTTAGTTTTTAAAAAATCTTCCACAGCTTGCACGTCGTCATCAGTAGAGGCAGGAAGTTCTATGGGAAAATTATTGGGCAAACATATTGATGTCAAAGCAGTTGAAGTCTCCCTTCCACGTTCAGTAATTATGTTAAGTATCTCCTTGTTTTGCTCTTTTATGTGAGCCAGCAACCTTATTATATTGTCATATTCTAAAAAAAATATAAAAAATCAATAATTGCTCGAGATATATGCACGTGTTTAACAATTAAAAAGGCAACAGAGTAGAAAAGTAT